ATGTGCATCTGCATTGACAGGACTCTTTACTTTGTGTGAAGAGGAGAGAGAGAGAAAGGCTGACTCATGTAAAACTGAGGCTCCATGTGTGCATTTGTGTAAATATGTGTCATGTTTGTCCATGCTTTGCACTGTGTGATGGATTTATTCCTTTTCATTTTGACATACTTTTGACTGGTCTCAGTGTCACAAACATATGATCCAGTGTATAAAACTTATTTTAACCCTTTTGTTTCATGTAACCTATATAAGCTTAAGAGTTATTAACGTTGTTATATTCGACTATTCTATATTATGTATCATCTTGTTCCAGCTCTTCATTTAAAGCTATATACTAAGTGATATACTCAAACCCCAGTGTGCATGCTTTTATGGCTGCACCACTCCATCAAGTAGAGCAGGGCTGCAACTTTATTTTCATTATCAGTTAATCTGATTGTTTTTGTTTAATTAATTAATATATTACATTAAAACAGTTTCCTAGAGCCTAAGGTGGTGTCATCTATTGTCTTGTTTGGTCCAACCAGCAGTCTAAAACTCAAAGATCTTCAATGTTCTGTAATCAAATTTGAAAAACAAAAAATCCATTAAATATTTGGAATTTTTGCCCCTGCAAAATGTTTTGCCTTACAAACTGTTCATATCCAATGCCTTCACAGTATGTCCAAGAAAGTCCTCATAAAAAGTGTCTATACCATATTTTGAACTACAGATCTATTTAGATATGTAAATAGCCTATCTTACATTAATAAATAATCATTATTGAAATCATTAATTTATGATTTTAGATAGCATGAGAGTGTATTTTTTAGGTTCTAGACCACTCGTTTTTGGAGAAAAAAACACCTATATCACACTATATCATGTGACATGAAAACATAACAGCCATAATGATTTAAATATATTGTGGCCAATCCTGTGAGTCCTGGAATCATCCTGCCTGAAATTTGCTGTGAAAGTGAGGACCAACAGATTGTTTTTTGACATAAACATCTCTCTTGCTGCCTGCTCCTCTCCCTCAGAGGCATCTTCATCAGATTGGCTGTAATCAGAGTTTTCCTCTATGTTATCTTCTTGCTCTGACACATCCTCCTCCAAATCACTCTCAGCTTCTTCATCGTGGAAGATCTGATCAAGGACCTCTTGAAGAGTGAGTCCTGCTGCTATGACCTCTGTACCTCTGCCACTGCATGGACCTCTGCTACCACTGGCCACTGGAAAGGGCAGCTCTATTTATGTTCTATTTTTAGGTTATATTGTTACATGCAGGTGCAGGTGCAGATGCAGCTGCTATGTCTCTGTAATCAAGGCACCCTCTGACCTCTGTATGACCTTCTTATGTGCACCACATATGACCACTCCTATGCTGTTTTACATTTCACTGTTTCGAGGTTCCCCTATGCCCCCCAAAGACCAGCAGGGGCCTGTCCCTGCATGAACCTTGGGCGAACAGTTATTTGTTTTGACAGGTGTATTGTGACATTAGGAAATAAACAGTTTCACCAGTTTCAAGATTCCCTAGAACAACCATTTTCCTTGATTTGACCCACTGTAGTGGGTCTAAATAATCCATCTCACTTAGACCCGGGTCTATAAATAATTGTAGCACCTATGCAAAAGTATACCAATGTTTTAATTTTATTTCATTTTTGTTGTATTTTGGTCACTTTAGGAAAACGTTAAAAAGAATGACATTTATGACAGCTATTTTTACTGCTGTCAAATGTCAAAACGGCGTCAAATTTTGACCTGAACAGTAGTAAAGGGGTTAACATTACACCTGCACATTGTAATACCCTGCCATCATTGTTAATTTTCTACTACTAAGTGCTGCTCTAATACTCGAAATTGATCTTTATTGATTACGTATGGTGCCTATATTATCTTATTTCTATAAACTAATACAAATCGGGGGGAAAACGTTTTTTTTTTCATTTTCTTGTTGTGCATCATTGTATACATTTGTCTGCGGTATTTCGCGCATGCGTATTTCCGTCTCTCCCCACAGCATTTTTTGACAAATGTCCAATAAATGCAGCATGTTTCTGAAGTTTAAAAAATACATTGTCTTGAATAATCGTGATTCAATTTTGACCCAAATAATCATGATTATGATTTTTACACACAGATCGCAGTTCAAACTGCGGCACTGACATTGATCTGACAGCTGGGTTATAAAAATAGGATAACGTTCTGATTGATAGCAGATGGATTGAGGGTGGCTGAAACAGGGTGAAGTTTTTCCTCACAGGGAGAGAGCTGTGCTCATTTACGCACGAGGAACAGCATAACTTCATTGATTATTTAAATCTCCCGACACGCAGACAGGATCTAATGTTAATTAATATTCTGTGTTCCCTAAGGTCACACACAGTCCAGGTTCATACAGGGAAACTGACAACTCCTCAGATTCCTCTGGAGAGTTTCCTCTGTCAACTTTACAACTACAGTTCTTAGTTTAGCTGCTTGATGATATTTGCGGCAGTAAATGGTAAATTGACTGTACTTATATAGCGGCCCTATAGTCTGTTGACCACTCAACGCGCTGTACTACACATGCCACACTCACCCCATTCGCTCACATTCATACACTGATTCATGCACAATGCAAGGTGCCATCAGAACAGAAACCATTCACACACACACACACACACATTCATAGAAACCATTGACACACACACATTCATAGGAGCAATATTGAGTTCAGTATCTTAATCAAGAGACATGCAGTGGGGAGGAGCCAGGGATTGAACCACCAACCTTCCAATTTTTGAACCCTGCTCTACCTCTGAGCCACAGCCGCCCCAGCAGTCACATTAATGTGTGCATGAAAACATTATTATTTACTTCTGCCTCAAGGGAGGGCTGGGGAGTAAGGAAATATAAAATAAGAAGCTTGGGTTGTAACCCTTGACACAGATAATCTGTAAAAAAAAAAAAAGTTCCTCTGGCTCCTCCAAGAATACTCTGGGCCAGAACGAAAACAGCCAATCAGAGCAGAGAAAGATAGTTGATTTTGAGTATCAGTCCCAGATCCCCTCTTTGGACCCAAAGTGACTTTCACTCTCAATACTGGACCAAATTCAAAACTTCATGTCCCCAATTGTCAATTTGACTCAAAAACATGGGAAAATAAGATGTTGAAAAATCCCAAATGCCCTTTAGCAGACCAAACGCACTGATTTCAGAATGGGATTGTTATGTTGTTAAGTCAGGAAGTAATGCCATTCAAATTCAGTAAAGTTGTGTTGTGTAAACTGTAGTTCTCTGCATACCAACTGTACATAATGTATCTCTCTCTTGATATTCCCCAGCAAGCCAACGACCTCTATTTGGTTTTTCTATAAATAACTACTTTTATGGGCGTTTAATTGCTGCCAGCTGTTAATTGCAGGAACATATGCTCAGATTGTCTCTCAGTCCCACCCTGGACTGCAGAGCCTAAAACCCCAGCACAACTGCAGCCACTGACATCACACATTCTCATTCTGAAAAGTGCCGGGCAGACAAAGGCCAACATGTCTGGTGTGATGGATGCTACATGATGGAGGATTCTCTCCTCATTACTACCTCGACCGCTGTGTTCGTCATCTTGCCCCCAGGACACTGTCGTTTTCTGGGCTGGTTTCCGATTGCTTTTAGCGCCGGGCTGCTTGTCAGAGCTTGCTAAGTCCACCGAGTCATCTGAAACAGACTGACAGGGAGTCCGGTTTCAGTCACAGAGATGCCTTCAAGATGAGACTGTGTATCTTAAACCATGACATCTTTTGCTTCTTGTGTCAATCTTTGATGTTAAAAGGTCCACTGTGGGACAGTTAGTCCTTGCTGCAGCGGCCACAGGTTCGACTCCGGTCTGTGACCCTTTGCCGCATGTCCCTTCTCTCTCCTCCCTTTACTGTCATCTATTGGAGGCATTGCCATGTCATTTTAAATAGAAATCCATGTTCCCCATAGGATGAATCCGACCGCCTTTGGTGATTTCCCGACACCATGAGGTTGACAGATATGGTTTTGAGTGAAATGTCTTAAAAGTCCAGTGTGTAACATGGAATATAATATCCATAGGTATGTTTTTATTAGTGTATGATCACCTGAAAGTAAGAATTGTTGTGTTACCTCAGAATGAGCTGTTTTTTATCTACAGACGCTGTGGGTCCACCATGTTTCAACAGTAGCCCAGAAGGGACAAACCACCAGCCACCATAGTTCGCACTGGACCTTTCGAAGTTCAAGCTCCAGTGTGAAAACGTGTGTAAATGCCCCTATCTAGAGCCCAGTGTTGTGGTTTGTCCCTTCAGGCTACTGTAGACTGGTAGTTCAACATGGCAGACTCCGTTGGAGGCTTATTCTAAGGTAACAAAAACACCATGATTCTTATATTCAGGTGATTATTCAATAATGAAAACATACTTATGAATATTATATTCCATTTCTGACAACAGATGTTACACACTGGACTTTTAAGCGTCCAGATTTCTGATATTAGCCAACATGATGAAGATATTGCTCGGCTGCTGCTTAGATTTAGAAGACAAAAGTCAGATACTCATTCTTTTATGAGTCTTATAGTGTTTTTACATCTAGTCAGTGCTATAATTTGCAATAGAGTTGGTTTAGATAAGACAAATGGACACATTTCTGTCACATTTAAGTTATGTTGCTACTTGTAACAATTCAGGATCACTCATCACAGACCAGTCTTTTTGGGCCTCAGAAGTTGTTTAGGTCAGACCTTGTAACATTTCCATTTAAGATTAACATTAAGACCACAGCAGCATAAGATGAAACAGATGAAATGCATATTTTGTACCGCCCTCTAAAATCACTGTAATACATTAATTTTCTAGATCTCTATCTCTTATGCAGTGAAAAGTTAATCAGTTCAAAATCAGGGCTTATAACGCATAAGGTTTCTTTCAGTAGTTTGTACACAGTATTACTTTACCTCCTTTAAGAACAGCTCAAACTGTTCATCCAGCTCCTCCTTGGTCAGCCTGTGAGACATAGTGATACTGTCCACTCCATCAGCCAATGGGAACCCAGACAACTGACATAAAGACAGAGAGAATTTGGGAAAGAAATTACACCTCAGGTGTGTAGCATAGTTTAAAACAAACATTATAAGTATTAAAATGCCTACATTTGATAAGGTGAATTATGGTATTTATAAGTCTCATTATGTTGTTTTCATTGTGATGGAGACTAACCCAGAATACTGGCAATCAATAGCAATATTAATATTACAAAATATTAGAACATAGGGTTTTAAAAAGAAAATGTTCAATCACATCCACAAAGTGAAAGCTCAGTTAGGGTTTCTTTTGTGAAACAGCATACACACAGACATAAAGAAATCCTTTACGCACTCCAGCAAATACAATATAGTCTGTAGAACTAATACAGCTTGTTGTTACAATATAACGTTAGATGACGAATATGGCTAAAGTTTTGTCTCTACTTTGTGAGACTTGTCAAAGCAGGACGGGCACAATCTGCATAAGGACAGCTCAATTCCATTTAAACTGTTAACTGGTATCCCAGTAAGCTGTGTCACAATATAAGAATCTGGGCACGTAATGCAGCCACTATCAATGCTACTAACTATTTTAACTTTCAGATAGGTATTTAAGGTAATCTTTTCACCAAAGAGTACTTGGGTCTGATTGCTGATTTCTACCAGGAATCACACAATGTTAATAACCGAAGTGCTCGGCGTACGACGCTAGCGAGCTCTATAACCCATTCGAAAAAGGTGAAAATGTACTGAAATAAAATGCTACTTGCTAAAGTATTTTATGCCGAATATTTCACGACAGCCCATAAATTAATAAAAGCGAAATACAGTGCACCACTACATTACCAGATTTACAAACGGGGACAAGCATTTTAAAATAGATTAAACAGAGAACGGGACATGTCAGTTGGTCAGGTGTCAACCACATACGATACAACAGTTACTACTTCCGGTCACAACTGTCAAAATAAAGCCGTAACGTTACCGACATTTAACGTTAGCTAGAGTTAAATTCAGTAGGTTAAAGTACACATATATATAACCTATCTGTCGTAACTGTCGTAACCTTAGATTTAACGTTAAAATAATATATTGACTCATTTTCTTTTAAAAGGAAACAAACTCTGGTTCTCCTTATAGCCTATATGTCACTTTGGGTAATGTTAGCACAAATGGCAGCGCAGTAACGTCGGTGCCCCAAGTGTTGCCTCACTTCCGGTGTTTTTCAGGAAAATTGACACAGCCAACAGTAGCTAAGTAGTTTAACGAATTAGCTAGTAACGTGAGCTGTCTAGAAGAGTAAGCTAACGTTTATCACTACGTGCCGAATAAAGCTCCTCACTTTTAACAGCTTAGTCTTTTCAGTCTGATATCGTTACAACTCACATTAAAGACTTTGACAGAGCTCTGATGAAGACTTGGTGAAACGTCCCCCTCCTTCTTGTTTTGAGTGTATGTTCCCGCGACAACTCCCGGGTGACAAAACCAACCTGATTGGCTAGGGAAAAAAACGTCATAAGAAGTGATAACCAATGGGCATACAGATGGATAAAGCGAGCACTCGGGGGTTGGGCATGCATGAACGTTTCATGGTCAAAAGTATGTGGACACCCATGTGCAATTAAAAGTATGACACACAAAAAAATGTTTTATTCACCCTGTATAAGCACTGCCATGTTATTCTGATGACTGATGATTATGATTCAGACTTCATTTAAAAGGTAAACTGACCACCAATTTTGAGTGTTAAAGGTCCAGTGTTGTTTTCATTAGTGTATAATCACCTGAAAGTAAGAATCATTATGTTTTTGTTACCTTAAAGTTAGCCTTTTTTATCTACAGGTCTCTTTCCATGGAGGTTGCTGTGTTTAACCACCCTGTTTCTACAGTAGTCCAGAATGTAACATGCATATATATTTGGGTTTTGGACTTTTGCTTGAACATAACAAGACATCTGAATATATTAATTTGAGCTTTAGGAAATTGTAATGAGCATCTTTCACTACTTAATGGACACAACAAACGATGAAGACAATAATTGTTTTACGTTCATGGTGTGATCAGTGAATGATTAGGCATATTTTCTAATTTCTCTCAAATGTATGTTTTTAATTACCTAATTTATAGTTATTTACGTTATGACTAATCTATAGCTGATGTGTGATATGTCATGACAGATTTTCTATACACAACCTATACTTTACCTAAAGATTCGTGGTCAACATCTGTCCATCATGTCCATCTCACTACTAACATTCAAAACACACACTCAAAAGACACTGCTGTCAACCCGACATTGATTGATAGGTCTTTTAATACAGGGACTAACATCCTAGACAACAATAATTATTTATATTTCCTGTTGTTTCCCATTCATTGTAGCCATGTAAAGCTCCTATAAAGCTGGGCTTCCTTCTCCAGAAGAGTGACACTGAATCAGTTATTGATTAAAGTATAATACATTGTTTTTTTGCAGTACATCAGTGGCATGGACTGCAGTTAACCATATTAGAAGTGGTTTTTTTTAATCATATTTTAAGAGCATATATAGGAGATTTGCTCCACTTGGAGGCAGTGTTTAACTGTTTATCTGTCCCCTTCGCGCGTCTGTGTACCTGGAAGGGCAGTCTGTCACCAGAGATCAGTAGTAATCTAATAAACTCTGGCCTGCTCGTTTTCCTCTTTCTTTCAGAGGTCAGAATGGATCCATATAAACTCTGTTTTTACCTGCCTTCCTATATGGCTTTGTCCCTCATAACCTCCAACACTCACACAGTATGTCAAAGATACAAGGAGGGAAAGAGACCATGTAGGCTGTTGTGTTTTTGCTGATCACCAGTTTATGTGCCTGAAAATTCCAATGGCCATATATCATCACGTCACACAGCAAATATATAGCTCTACAGACACACACACTCACATAATATCTGGTTATACTGTACTTTTTTTGGAAATGAAGCTCGCAAAACAATATAAGGAAGAATAAATGCATTACAATCATGTGTGTTATTCAGATCTGAACATAACATAAAAAGACAATGGAAGCTGTTTTTTGTGGGGGAACACACTTTAGACATTTTGAACAATAAAGAGAATCATGGCTGAAACTGCTTTATTTACAAGGTCTAGTATTGTACTCAATGTCTCACTGTCCCCCATCCTACAGGGGGTCCCCAAAATGGGGAATATTTTATTTTCACTATTATTTCATTGACTAGAAGTTCACCTAATGAGAAAATGTATAATAATGACTACTCTGGTTTTTTTTTCATAGGCCCTTCATACCGTTTCATTGTTAATTCGGTGGCGCCCTAACCAGGACGTAGTGTTAGGTAAATGGTGAAATGGACCTGTACTTGTATTTTAGCGCCTTTCTTCAGTGCTTCCGGGACCAACTCAAAGCGGGCTTTTACAGCTACGTGGCCACATTCACCCTTTCACAACACATCACACAGCGGATGGGCAAAGCTCGCCATCGGAACAGAAGACTAGATCATTTCATACACATTCACACACTGGATGCTATTGCATCAGGAGTGGGGGGTTCAGTATCTTGCTCAAGGATAGCTTCGACACATGCCAGGGAGGAGCCGGGGGGGATCGAAACAACAAGCCTTCCGGATTGGCGGGGACGGACCCGCTCTTACCTCTTTGACCACAGGCCGGGGCCCCTTATTGAATGACTGAATCTTATCAGGGATGGGGATCCTTGGGGAGACTGAACCATATCCGATACAGGTCTGATGTGTATCAATCTTTGGGGGGTCCCCTGGACACCAAATATGGGGTTGGGAGGAACCACTGGGCTTGAAGGGGTATGGGTCACACTTCCATCTTATGAATATTTCACTCAATTTTCCATTTCCCTTCAATTGGGATGGACTAATTTGCTTGTATTGCGTGATCTCCAGCCAAGCTTCCTGTGGACTTGCAACTTTTAATTTAACTTCGTTGACCAAGGTGGATATTGTCATTTTTTAACAAAAGAAAAAAGGGGCTTATATCGATATATCGATTGCCCGTGATGTGTAAAAAAAAATCAGCGTATATTTAGTTCAATATCATTAGCTCATAAAATATGATGAACTGGGTACAGTTTTAAATCTACCCAACAGGTCAAACACAGATCCAGACCTTGGATCACCAAATTGCTTGCTGGACAGGGGGGTAGCCACTTCTTAGGGAAACCATTTGTTAGGGATGAGTTAGGGCCTATAGGGCGGCTGTGGCTCAGAGGTAGGAGCGGGTCATCCACTTATCGAAAGCGTTGGGGTTCTTTGCCCTGGCCCCCTCTGTGCATGTCAAATGTTTCCTTGAGCAAGTTGCTCCTGGTGGGTCCAGGTGTCATTGGAGTTGTGTTTACGAAATGGGATTAGTTTCCGTTCTGTGGAGCAGTTGACACTTTGCATGGCATGGCCACTGCCATCAGTGTATTGAAATCTGCGTGGTGAAGTGGGGTGGAGTGTGGCATGTAGTGGTGCAGCGCATTGAGTGGTCGAAAGAGTAGAAATTTAATTTAACATGGGATCATTTTACTGTTATAATTGTTAAATCAAACAGATAAGTACTGCACTGTAAAAACTGTACTTCAGTGGACCTATTATCACATCTTAAATAAATGCATGGTTGCAGGATAAAACTTCAAATTTCTTAATTTAGATAAACCTTTTAAGTTACAAACATTATTTTGATGAGTTGTGTTGACACAATGTGAAATTGGAATCTTTATAAGTAGCCTAACCAACTTAAAAACTTGTGTTTATGCTACTAATTATTAAGTAAGTGGTAATTAAAAAAATACCTTTGATTGTAGAGGAAAAGCTAATGTAGCACATTTGTTAAACATAATTTCATTAGAAGTTGCCATAACTCAAAAAGACTGATGCAAACTGCTCCAAAACATTTGTATCTAGTGATTTTAGTATTGCACTTCCATAATGTTGGTGGACTCACATGAGACAGATTTAAAAAAAAAGAAAAAGATAAAAATCGAGACAGCAGAGGCTGCTATATCCTGACTTTTAGTCCCTGGTATGAGTAAAACTCCAAGAACACCGGATTCTAGATTTCTAATAATACTGTCAAATCTTTTTATTACATCCTCCATGGCCCAAGGCATGTCTTTCAAACTCTTGATTATTTTGTCAGACCTAACAAAGCTTACAGAGCCTCAGAACATTACACAGCTATCTGAACAGACTAAATTACTTACTTATTACTTACTGCCATAAATTGAGTTCCCCCATACATTCTAATGTAATATTTTACTTTTGATGGAGTATTCTTATACTTTACCATTACTGCATTTTTTAGAGTTAAACTCCCTAAAACTGAGCTAAGATGAGATTTTGTGTTTCAGAAATGGTACTGTATATATCAATGCATGTCCAGTGCACCAAAGAGAGGTTTTATAAAATTTTCTGGATGTTCAGAGAATACGATGATACTAGTGGGCTGAGGTAGTACAGGAAAGGAATCCACTGGGAGTAGTAGTAAAAGTGGAAATCCTGAGGACATACGTACGTAGACCACGGAAAAGTGAGAAGAGCATAACTAGGGTTTTTTTAAATGTCTACATGTACTCAGTAAAAGAACTCAACCTTGGCGTAATAGAAATACTTGTCAGTGCCTTCATTATAACTACAGGAACTCCAGTGACCCCTAGGTGGTCCAGGCAGGAGTGGAGTTGAGAACTGGAAGGAAGTGGAGAGAGGATGAACAGAACATGAGGCAGTAAGGGGACAAAGTAGGAGCAGACCATGGACTGACGCGTCATATGGACTGATCTCTGGCAAGATGTGCCTCAGTGCATCAAGTTCCAGATTCATGCAGTCTACGATGTCTTGCCCAGCCCATCAAACCTCTTTCTTTGGGGCAAAGCAAAATCTCTGAATTGCCTGCAATGCTCAGGCAATGGGACATTAGACACCCTTAACACCCTCAGCTGCTGCCCAGAGTTTCTTGGGCAGGAGCAGTACACCTGGCATCACAACCAGGTTCTGAAACCCATTGCAGAAACCATCAGCATGGGAATCAGCAACAGCAGACAAGCACGCCCCACCACTCCAACGATTTTGTAAAGGCTGGAATACAGCTGCCAATGCGGCCCACAGCAATCATGGATACAGCGCAAGACTGGCAGCTTTCCATGGACCTTGAGAAACAGCTTAAGTTTCCACCATACATTGCCATGACCACCTTGAGGCCAGACATCATCCTGGTCTCAGAAGAACATTGTTATAATGGAGCTGGCCATAGACTGTCGAAAGCAGGGCTGGAAGGCAAAGTGTATGCCCATGGAGGTTGGCTGCAGATGTTTTGCAGGACAATCACTCTACAAAGTCTGTATAGAACTGGGCATCACCAGAAAGGTAAGGATAAGAGCCATCAAGAACATCACAAAAGGTTTTTTTAAAGATTCTAAGTAGGAGATCCATGTTGCACACAGTTGGTAAGTG